TATAGACAGAGTTTGACTAGTATACGATAGCAGAATGAATAAACTATGTAAACCTATTTCTAACGATTAGCTTTAGAAATAAAAATGCTTTGTTATTGACATCTGTAACACAATTAATAATTCTGTATATTTCTATTGCTAAGTAAAACCAAGGATTTTTTAGCGCGATAAGTATGTCGTAGTGCTCGATTCTAATGCATATTCAGTATTGATTTTCTGACTTTACGAAATGCTTTTGCAGTTTTGTTTCGGTTCTAGTGAGAATGCAATGTTTTTTACGTGCATAAGGACTCCCGTCTAAGAATGAAGAAAATGAGAATACGATAAGAATAATTTTTCTTTTTTTTCCGATGTGCTTAATGTGATTATTAGTCCTAAAACGTATGCATATGTACACATATTCTCATAGTAATCAAAAATAAAAACTGGTATAAGTATCGAGTGAGATCGTTATCTCTGCACTTCATGTCTACTTCTTCGTTTTAGTCATAGATGCTTTTCCTTTAAGTTTCGCATTGAAAATTTCCTTTTTTTTATTGAGAGATCTTTTTCAGAGCTAAACCATTTCAGATTTTTTCCCGCGGGTATTTCTAAACTACAGTTATATCTGTTTTTAGATTTTAGTTTGCTTACTTTGAGATCGTCTTTCCTCATTATCACTCTAAGTCCTGTCTCTCTCGTTGTTCTTGTCTGTTTTATTTTTCTCTATTCTATCGCAACGTCTTGCTTTTACTTTGTCAATCTTAGAAGAGTTTTGTGCTGCGAGGAAGACGAAGACTCTTAGCGAAGTAATCTATTCTCTTGCGACTAAACAGCCCTATAGAATGTCCAGTTTCCCTGATCAGACGACTGATCAGCAAACTGTAAGTGAAAAAGTCTTTATCCTGTTTTCTTGGTCAGGATCTGTTTTTTTCCTGATCAGTAAAAGAAATCAAGAACAGGACCTGCTTTTTGGATAGTCATCAGCATTTAACTATACTTCGGCGTTAAAAGTGGCTATAGCTTTTTCAGGTTTGATTACATCATGTTTTACTCGGACTTTTCTTCGAGAACATGATGTAAACAGTGTTTGAGGTTTTGATCAGCCCCATGATCCCTTTAGGACCTCACAATCTTTATCTGCAAATGAAAAAGACATGTTTTTACGAAATTCATACATCAAAGACAAAGGATTCCGTGCGAGTACACAGCAATTTTGGCTCTATAATGCTTCGTGTAAACCCTCCTTGCGTTCTCCCGCCATAATGTTGAACTATGTTCGATCTGTTTTTAAGAAGTTAATAATAAGCTCTGGGACTTCAGTCAAGAAATTTTCTATCTTAGATGAAGCTTTTCTATTCCTATGTTCTTCTCAATTATTAAATTAATTGAGCCCATACATCAGAGAAGTACTCATATCCCATGCACACTTCTTGAGAAAGGCCCATTTTTGATACCAGAATAGCCAAAGGAAAAATGTTCAACTTTGCGATAATAAGTTTGGCAAGGATTTAAGCAGGGATTCCAGATTCAAAACACGAAAATCAGAAAAAGAAGTAGAAAAGCAGTAGACCGCAGGGCAAAAAAGAGCAGAAATAAGGCAGAAAAAGTTCTAAAAATCAGAATTTTTCTGGTAAAATCAGAAGATCTATGATCCCTGAATTTAAGTCTTTCTGCTCTCTCACTCATAGAAATCCACTGAGTAATTGACTAAGGACTTTATATCTTTTCAAAAAACCTGGCGTTTCGTACATTGCTTCGTTAAAAATTTTCTGACTGGATAAGAATGTAGAGCAAACATTTATCTAAAAATGAGAGTTTGGACAGCTCTGCATGATTTGGTTTGAGATTTCGACAACGATGCCTCCATAAGGGACTAATCGAGTAATCGAAAATAAGAAGTGTCGTGTATATAACGAACACTCTTTTGTGTGTTTCTGTTTTAGAATGAGAATAATGGAAGCATATTTTATCTTCAATCACGCACGTGTCTGCCGTATAGCTTATACAAAAATTTGGACTACATAAACTATATGTACATCGATCTAGAGAATTATCTATAGATATAAATGTTCACGTGGAAAAAGAACTGAAAATAAATTCTCTTGCGTTCTTGCAGTTAGACAGAAAAGTACAGCTTATCCAACCCTGATCAGTGTCTGTTTCTTGGAAAATCTCAAGACCAGTCCAAACTTACTGTTTATCTGATCAGCAGAAAAGACAGATTTTCTTGACCTGTTCTTATCACTTTCTTGGTCTGATCTTGGAGCTGATCAGGACAAGAAAATAAAAACAGGAAACAGACAACTGTAAGTAGATAAGTCTGTACCCTGTTCTCAAGACCAGATAAACTGGACATTCTCTAGGGAGGCATTGAAACTTTACCTTCTGTATTAAAGTTGAACTGAAGAACTTCAACATATTATACTCATTCTTACCATGTGTTTAAGACACAAGTTTTGAGGAACATGGAAATTCGAGAGAATAGTACTATTGAAGATGCGATACTCGTTCATTCACAAATTGATGAGTTTGATCAACACAATAATTTAACTGACTATTTTCTTCATCGTCTTAATGGTAAACAACATTTAATTCTGGTTGCATATACGAATGAAGCTATACCTGTTGGCTATTTAGTGTGTTATGATAGGTACAATGATAATGTATCATTTTATATATGGTTAGCTGGTGTTCTAGAACAATATCGACATCAAAATATTTTGAAACAATTAATGACTTATGCTGAACGATGGATTAAACAAAATGGTTTCACAAAGGCTGTAATAAAAACGCGTAATCAGTTCAAAAATATGATATTATATCTTGTGAAATATGATTATAAGTTTATAGAGATAGAAAAGAAAGCTGATATTAAAGATAACAGATTGATACTTGAAAAGTTATTGTAATATCCATATTATTCATTTTTTGAAATAGTACATTTATTTTTTGAATAAAAAATATCAAGATAGATTTTAGTCTTAAACTATACTTAAAAGATGTGCAAAAATATTTATTTACTGCTTATTATTGCTGAAGCAATTTCATTTTAGTTTAACTCCTGTTTGTAGATCATCGTTGCCAAGTATGACTTTTGTATATAAATACAAAAATGCTTGAGTTGCGATAGCCATCGAAATAAAATGACATATTCTCATTGAATAACTGACTTCTCCATTGTTTGCAGAAAGGCTTTTAAGTATATGATTCTTGTATTTGTTTAAATTTTATTACGTGGAAAAATGCGAGGAAGAACACAAACTCCCATGATTCTTAAAAGTATAGAAATTCAACGTCCTAATCAGATTTCTGAAACTTCATGAGAATATTCAGTGGCTTTTGTTTCAGTAATCATGTTATTTCATAATCAATTCCTATTTTTTGCATTAATATTAATTGTTATATACTATTATTGTAAATTTATTTTGTCATATCAAAAATTTGTATGTTTTAGAGATGATGGCGATGATAATTCATTGATTATATCTTGTATTAGTATATACGCAGATGATATAAAAACGAACAATTACGGTTAAAAATTTTAGTTGATTAATGTAATTTTTTACTTACTTCACATTACCATGTTTTTCAACAAATCTAATTAGTTTGAAAGGAATGTTGTTGTATCAGATAATATGAGTATAAATGCCACAACGACTGGAGTGATGATGTTCTTTTGGCATCTTCGAAAATGCTGGCTTCAAGACTGTTATACGTTTTAAAAGATACAGTAAGTTGTGATTTACTTATAGAAAAGTAAGATAGTTCATCTACATGAGTGAATAGCTGGAACATAAAGTACCTACTTATATATTGTCGACGCATCAGAAAAGAAATGTGTTTCAATATATGTGCATATCAAAAAGGAAGAAATAATAAAAGATGGTCAGTGCAGAAAGCGATATTCTATTCTGAACAATAAAAGAGTAACCACTTATTTT